TGGTTCTCTGGTCCCGGGTACTCGGTGTAGAGTTAGTGTGTGTCTTGGTTTCGTGTGTGTGTCTGTCTTAATATGAGCTTTTTGCCTCATCCAATTCCTTTTCAAAACATGTGCAGGTATTATTAGTTAATATTTATTATATTTATTATTTCTATTCTCAAAATAATATAAATAAATGTTTAAAAGTTGGCGAGTCAACAACTTGAGGCGACTTCTGTTGTGATTTAGGGCGATACACAAGCAAATTGAATTGAATAAAGAGAGCATTTGAATCCAGCATGTGACGAAGCACACAGTAAATCCAGAGACTCTCCTACACACTCTATTTGAATGAACGTTCAAATTGTTTTTTTTTCTTTTATTTCAGTCACTTTATACAGAGCAGTAACTTTCCAGAAGAAAGACCAACAAGGTTTACGCTGAAGCTAATGCTTATTTTGCAGAGCCTTTTTCAAGTGTCATTTACATTTAGGTGAACGTATACAATAAGGTTTACAGAAGTACAGTAACTGCATAATAATTTAGATTCTGAGTTCTTGTAGCCATCGACTTATTTTACGTGGAAAAAGTAAATTCAAGATTCAAGTTAATCTGTGCATCCAGAGACCCTAACCCTAAACCCCTTTAACAGATAAACATTTTATTACATTAGTTCTAAATGTCTGCTTTATGAACATGTCTCAACCACAGACTGTAAATATTAACCAACGTAGTCACGCCTATCTCCGCAGTTCTAACTAATGTGCCACAACAGAACTGGCTCATTACAGAGCAGTCGCACTGACCTCCCACCTGATGAAGACCATGAAGTGGCTCATCCTCACCCATCTCCGCTCCAGGCCCAACATTGGAGTAGAGGACGCCGTCACCTGGAGCCCGCCGGGAGCGCTGTGAGGGTCTTGTTTTTTGACTTCTCCAGTGCTTTCAACACCAACAGACCGGCACTGCTGCAGGGGAAGATGGAGGATGCTGGAGTGGACAGTGGCCTCACTGCATGGACCATCAACTACCTCTCAGACCGACCACAGTACGTGCGGCTGCGCAGCTGTGAGTCTGAGGTGGTAGTCTGCAGCACTGGGGCCCCTCATGGCACTGTCTTCTCACTGTTTCTCTTCACCATCTACACCTCGGACTTCACACATGACACACACAGCTGTCACCTGCAGAAGTTCTCCGACGACTCCGCCATCGTGGGCTGTGTGTCTGATGGGAACGATCTGGAATATCGGTCGGTTATCAAGGACTTTGTCGACTGGTGTGAGCGCAACCACTTGTGCTTGAACACCAGTAAGACCAAGGAGATGATCATCGACTTCAGGAGAAAACCACTTTCCCACACGTTGCTGAAGATCCAGGGGGAGGACATTGAGCTGTTGGACAGCTTCAAGTACCTGGGTGTTCACATTAACAATAAACTGGACTGGTCCCATAATACAAACGCCCTGCACAAGAAGGGCCAAAGTCGCCTCTTCCTTCTGAGGAGGCTGAGGTCCTTCGGAGTGAGCAGGCCTCTGCTCAGGACGTTTTATGACTCTGTGGTAGCTTCTGCCATTTACTACGCTGCCGTGTGCTGGGCCCCGGGCAGCACAGAGCTGGACAGAAGCAGACTGCATAAGCTGGTCAGGAGGGTCCAGCTCCACTTTGGGCTGCTCCCTGGACTCTGTGGAGGAGGTGAGGGACAGGAGGGTGCTAGTCAAAGCCACCTCCATCATGAACAACACCTCCCACTCACTGCACAGGACTGTAGAGGAGCTGAGGAGCTCCTTCAGTGGAAGACTGAGGCACCCTCTAGCCCTGTTTATACTGAGACGCTGCGCAGACGTTTCCAGTCTATTAACAGAAACGACCAGGCTCCTAATGCAAATATCTCAGCGTTCACATGAGGTTGAAAAACGATGTAGTTCTAGCGCCCGGCCAGTAGTGGGCAGAGAAACTTTACAACACTCACGACCCCCAGCCCCGTGCCCAGCCCCCCTCTCGGCAGTGTACTCACTTCCTGTGCCAGACCCTCAGAACGCACCAACATCATTCTGCATTTTAACAGCAGCTGTGAAAATAGAAACTGAACCTAGAGCTTCGCGTGGTCTCGTTTGGACGAACGAAGGTGTAGAATAATCCTCTGTGCAGCGCTGGAAGCCCACGAAGCTAGTTAGTGTGACCGCCGCCATTGTTGTTGATGTTTGTTCTCCGCTACTGCGCATGTCCAAATTTACGTTCGGGGAGCAGCGCGGAGGCGGGGGTCAGAGCAAAGGGGGATTTCACACCTATTCCCCTCTCGCGGGTGTGAAAGAGCTCCCTGCTGTGCAGCGTATCTGAGTTGTCCCACTCTGCAGGCTGGATCTGAACACTTACGTTTTCACCCCCCTGGAACACGGTCTTCGTATGAACGCTTGGTAGCAACCGACATCCAACTATACCGTTTTACTGCCACTTTGTAAACTCAGCCTCAGTGTAGGAAGGAGCGCTACCACAGGGCCTTTATCCCCACCGCTGTCAGACTGTACAATAAGTCACTTTAAGTCACTGTATAAGACTGAAAAACCTGCACTTATTTTATCTTAATTTCCGAGGTCTATGGACAATTTCAAAATGGCCACGGGGGCTGGAAAATGTGAAAAAACGCATCTGCACATGCGCACGTCAGCCGGCACGAGCCCCATTCATTTAACGAGTACTTTCAAAAAATTCACAGCGACTAAACTAGACTGGTCCAAAAAAAGTCACTCCCCTCAGCATTGACACACATGTGGAACGGAGCTTTGGGCCAAGAGCCAACTTTTGGACCATCCTGTTTTCGAGAGGTCAGCTAATGCTATATGTTAGGATTGAATAACTCTCATTACGGGTCCACCCCCATCGGCCCGGGGTGGTATTGCAAGCATGTCAGCGCACGTCATTTTGGCCACTTTTGAGCCGGGACCCGCCCCCACTGGTCACAACCCATAATGACTCTCTGATTGTGAACAACTTCTGAAGTGGTTTTGATAGGAGGTCAATTTAGATTTTCAACATTATTATCAAAACATTGAATTGTTTAGAGATTTGTAATCAGTACATTTCTTGGTTCGTTGAAAGCTGATGATGTGATTGATCTTTTTTGCAAGGTGAAAATGGATTTTGTATTAGTTTTGTAGGTGTTGCCCCACACCTCAATACAATATGTTATGTTATTTGAGCTGCTTCTCTGTAGCAGACGACACACTGTGGGGAAGCCCTCTTGTTTTCCACAAACACTTCTTCTCTTTCGACAGAATGCAAGCACTTTCCCATGCCAAGTGTTTCCATGGCGACGGCATATGTCTTCAGAATCAGTTCTCTTTGTTGTTACATCATGGCAGAGAACAGCACAATCCATGTCTCTTTTTCAAGTACTAGTGCAGCTTTACTAATGTTTAATCCTATTGAGAATTAGAACCTCTTGTTTAAGGGAGTCCTGGCCAAGAGGCAGCAAAGTTACACATACTGTAAACACAACAGACAGATAAAATCACATAAAAAATGACAGGTAAATAGACTACACACATCAAGTAATATATTTACAGGTAATTCACTGTTAGTACTGCCAGTCAACACCATTTTTGTTTCCAAGGATTTATGAATGGCCCTAAGCCAAGTTCCCTTGCATAATAGAGTCAGGAACTTGGAGTCTGCTTCCTGATTCCACCTGCTGTGAGGAGAGGGAACAACATCAGTGGATTTTTCTATTCTTTTATCCTGAATATGTGAGCTCTTAAACTAAACGCAAGCCTGACGTTTAGCATAATGTACCAAACTTATTCCAGGATTGAGATGCTCAAAATAACTACAGACAAAGAGGAAACAAAAAAGTGTATGTACCTAAATGCAGAACTACTTTAAAAACCGGTGTGTGTCTCAGCTGCTCTTAACAGTATTGACAGAGGATTTTAAAACATGTTCAATCCTGATATGAAAATGCATAAATAAACAGCTTATTAAAAAAAAGTTCTGAAGAATGAGAAGAAAAAAAAACAATAATATATTTTTTTTATTTCACAGTGCTTTTCAAGACACCCAAGATAGCCTTAAACATCACACATAATATAAAAAAAATACAAAATAGAAAACATGTACAATATTACAAAGAATAAGCCAATCGTGAGGACAGTGAGGCGAGTTATGAGATAAATATTTGGATTTTGTAAGGATAATATGCAGTTATCTGACAAGTGTACAACCACACCGTTTAATTTGTTCTAAAAGTTTAAAGGACCCATATAACGCTTTTTTCTCACTGGAGCACTGATCCAAGCGTTTCATATGAGGCGACATCCCATCACTCTATGCACACAATGGCTATAATATGACAAGTTTTGAGTGTTGTATTGAGTATCACCCAAATTATTATCACACATGTGCTTGGGATGGACTGTGAAAAATTAAGAAAAGCTAAATACAGCACCCTTATTCTGCTCCAAAGCTTTTGAGCTGTAAATGAGGTAGCATGCCTTTTGGTGGAGCTGAAGTTGGCAGGATGACACTGTGAAAGTACCTCAATGGCTGCTTTGTGTCATGGGCAGAAAGCCACATAACATGGACTTTCCTGGGTTATACCAATGGGAAGGGGCCTCGTCTGTCTACCAAGGATTTGAATGAATTGTGTCCAATCGAGGCGGGTCTCACTTCGGATTTCATTCAAAAACGTCTCTCCATCTTCACTAATTCATCTTCACTTCACTAACTGATAGTCCCTTTTGAAATGTTTAGATTTATTCTCTTTTTAGTGTTAAATTGACATATTTTAACATTGTCACTCAATGAAAACCTAATCTACAAAATCTAATGTTGTCAATCCATTCCAGGTGGAAAAAGTACAAGAAAAAACATTTCACTTATTTATTGAATGTATAAAAAATAGTTTGACTCTCTGAAATGACTTTTCACAATACATGCTTTGAGTAGTATACTTTCCTATCCAGCTCAAGGCCGGCCTCAGTCTCAGTGGTGCTTGTTGGAGATATTGCATATTGCATAGTAGCAGCATGAGCACAGATCTCAGCTGGTGCTCCTCTCTCCCCCCACGCTCCTGGCACAGCTTCCCGCTCATGTGACTTTGTTTACAGACGCTCAGCAGTTGGATTTGGCTCTGCTGCTCTCACTGTTTCACAGATTTGTCAAAGTCCTGTTTACTGACAAGATAAACAACACGCAAGCAACAAGTCAACAAGAAATATGTGTTCATTTCCTGGTCTCGTATTACTCTCTTGTTAGGCTACATCACAGAAACAAAACCTTGCACAGATCCAGAAACACGTTCTAGTTTGTTATATATAGTGGTGGGCAACGATTACCTTTTCAAATTGTGATTACCGTAATTTCTGGCCTACAGACGCTACTTTTTTCTGTTTGTCAAAGCAGAGTTTATGGATTATTTCTTTTTTTCTCCATCAAGTTTTAGTAGCTATAGGAAACTTGTCAAAATAGGCCGGTGATTGAGTACCGTTGTGGAAGCTGTTAACCACCTCATCACTAAATCATGTTGTGACCAGTTCAAACATCTATTTGCTACATTACACAATGAAAACCTACAAATTATATTCAAGTGCGACCTACATGAGGTGCAGCATGACTATATTGGTGGAGCTGAAGTTGGCTGGATGACACTGTGAGTGCCTGAGGGCCACATAAAATGACACAGTGAACCGCATTTGGGCCGGGGGGCTTAGTTCGGACATGCCTGTGCTATACTATGTTACTATATTACATCTAGTATGGGGAAATGTATGTGTGTTTCAAATACATATACATTCATATTTATACAACATTATATTACAATATACCAGTGCAGAGCCTGTGTTTTTAATGCCACATTCTATAATCAAATTTATAATCAGAGATTTTAACTTTGGATTAGAGCTGGGTGATGAAATGAAAACGATATATATCGCAATATACTTGTGTTTAATATCAATAGAAAATGGGGTCGATAGAACTTCACTTCGTTAGAAGAACAGGAAGAAAACACAGGAAGTAAAGCCGAGTCAGAAGCGCGCAGCATTCTGGGGGACGTACGCAGAGGCTTCTCGACTCATCACGGCCGAGCATGAACAACAAAACATTCTGGGAAATGTAAAAAAAAAAAAAAGTGCACCATTTGTAGCGTCTATGGTTCTATAGATTGCGTCGTGTTTCAATGCGGTGTCAATGGTTATGCACGTCCGTGCAAGGAATAGCATGTGCGGAGCGGCAAAGGCAGTGGACACGTCGATGCACTTTGAGATGAGATGAACTTTTTCCTCTGGAAGCGTCACAGGGACACTCGAAAACAGCCAAAGCAGGAGCAAAACAATATTCACTTAATGTCCAAATATATTGTATAGAATGTGCCCATGACTGGCTTCAGACTCCGACAGAGTTTCAATACATTTTAGCAGTAAACATAGGTTTTGCTAACGGAGATGTGTGCCCACTATATACAGAGTTATACAGTTTTTAATATACACTGTCTCATCCGAATAAAAAGTACAACAACATTTTTCCATTTTCTGACTAGTCTGTTACATAGGCACATAGGACAACTCAACCAATGCTCAGGGTATTGTTGAGAATAATTTATACTTTTTTTATAATTGTATGTTGTATATCAGACATACGCATTACCTCAATGACACAGTTCACTATAGTTTTGTCCATGTGATCACCTCTGCCATCACAGTATCACCACCAAATGAACCCTCTTAAATGCAAATCATGAGCTTGTTATGCGCGGTGAAGGAGAAATGAGTGAAAGCCAAAGCTCTTGTACGTGCCGCTATTCTGAGTGTGTCAAAGCATTGCACAGGTATGGCCCTCTCAAATCACTGAAGGATGAAGGACGCACTCATTCTCAAGTGTTTTAACAGGCGCCGTTTCTCAACTGCAACTGAATCCAATGAGTTTAAGTTTTTTATTACTACTTTTTGTTTCCTTTCATATCCAGCTCAAGGCCGGCCTCAGTCTCAGTGGTGCTTGTTGGAGATGCATATTGCATTGTAGTGGCGTGAGCACAGATCTCAGCTGGTGCTTCTCTCTCCCCCCAATTAGTTTATGTTTTATGTGTTTTATTCTAAAGAGTAAGTTTGTCCTTTCAACCAGGCTCCCTCGCCTAAAACAACTCAATTCAATGTGTTTGGTTATCACCCAAAGTTTACAAAGTTTACAGATCAGGGAATCAAACAGTTTGAACACAGGAAATACAATAATCATGAACACATAAGAGCTATAGCAGAAATTATCTTTAATTGAAATTTCCCCACTGTGGGACGAATAAAGGATCTCTTATCTTATCTAATTGTCCCGGATAATCACTGTTCGTAGACCCTCCTGCATCTGCAAGGAACGGCTCACAAACCCAATGGGAAAAACCTGTGTTTTTGAGCCGATCCAAGTATTGAGAGAGGGATCTGCTTCCACAGATGGACTGGCTGTAGATCCAGGACTCAGGCTGTAGAACGAGGATTGAGACTGTTCAGTGCAGGATGGAAGAGGCCCCAGGGTGGAGAGGGGGACATTGTGACAGTGGGTGAATAGCAAGGAAAAGACTACAAGCATTTGTCTTTGCTCATATTGACCAGCAGTGAATATATAACCCATAGATGACATTGACAATTCCCCACTGCGGGACAAATAAAGGTTTATCTTATCTTATTTTAGAGGTAAGAGTGAAAGTACTCTGGCAGGTGATCAGCTGACTGATGACTGTTTAGTTGGTATTGTGTTGTAAAATAAACAATTTTACTAATGAGAGCAATACTTTTTTTGAACTGCCGCCAGGGCTGAGAATGGGGGCAGCTCTCTTTGTCTGTATATTGTATTGGGGAACAATATTGTAACATGGTTAAAAAAGGAATACAGGAACATGAAAGGCTTCCATTGACTGTCCAACGTTTCCCAGGGTCCTTTTCTTCAAATGCTTCCCTGTATACCAAATATACTGTACTCCATCTGTATGCTCCACAGTGGTGCTTAGAGCTGGCTGTAGCTTCACTGGGCTGGGAAAACATGCCTAAAATAGAACGCTTCATATACTTAAAGATGCAACACGGCAGATGAATGGAAAGTGATACTGACCTAGAAGTGGCACATGGTTTCTGCAGTGTGGTGTGAGATGAAAAAATACCTAATACTGTATCCTGTCTCTGGATATTGGTTTCCCTTTGGAAATATGTGGTCTTAATTATACTATAAACTTTTAGCAGTTACCTACCCTGTATGTGCAGCAAAGTTTTTTGTGGTTATTTTGAAAGACAAGTTAGATGTATGACCTTGTTCACATGTTTCAATTGCAGAGCTAGGAGGGTCTTTAGAACTCGCTCCTGCCGTGGTGACTTGTGATCTATCCTGCTGATTAAAGCTGTTCTAGTTTACATTGAGTTATATGGGGAACATTTCTGTTTACCCCACATGAATTTAGTCTTGTTTAGTCTGCAGTACCACGAGAAGCTCAAAGCTAGTAAGTTTTATAATAGATCCATGGATTCATCAGCTGATGTTACTTCCTGAGTAGGCGTGGTTAGCCGGATAGACCTGAAAATGGTTGTGCCCATATCATCTTGATTTCATATTTAAAGAAGCAGTATGTAAAAAATCTGGCCAAAAAAGGTACTGCACTCTCCCTGACTCAGGTTGCCAGATATGCAGACGAATCCAGCTGGGACCATAATATCTGAATAGACAAGAGTTTTGTCAACAACAAAATCTATAACCAACACCTTTTTTCCCAAACGCCCCTATAGAAATCCTCGTTCTGTTCCTTGTTTTGTCATTAATGATTTGAGAATCATAAGACTTTTTTTTGCACTGCGGCCACATGTTACTTTACTTGTGAGATTAGCTGGACGCGGTGAATTCTGGCAACCCGGATTGCGGACTTTCTGATTGGTGAAACAACAAAATTTAGGGGCTGTAAAACCAAATTTTGAAATTCAAATATCTCTGAACTACTGTTATCAGTTAAATAAGTATTCGAAAAGAGCTTGTTTTTTTAATGCCTTTTAACATATTAGGGCTGACATGACTTGACATGAAAATCTTACATATCGCTACTTTAACTCTAATATTAACTCTAAAACAAAAACATTACAAAAACATCTGTAAATCAGTCAACCACACTTCACTTCTGCTTCGATTCAAGCACAGCTGTACCCCACAAAAAGAACATCCAAACCCATATTCATTAAATGCAATTATCTGTTCAGAATACGGGTCAATTCCCCCTTTTTCTTTTGAAGGCAATAATTAAAAGTGTTTTCTCATGTTGTGTGTCTCTGTTGCAGGATCTTGGCCACAGTTGGCGCAGACTTTGACTTGAGAACTCTGAGGGCGGTGCGGGTTCTGAGGCCACTCAAGCTGGTCTCTGGCATTCCCAGTAAGTTCTTAGCTTCTACTACTACATCTATTTTCTACTGAGACCAACACATTACAGAAAGAAACCAATACAACTATCCATCCATCCGTTTTCTTCCTCTTTATCTATTGCGGGGTTGCGGGAACAGACAAATCGCGTTCCCAGGCCAGCTGGGAGACACATCCCTCCAGCATGGTCAGTGTCTTTCCCTTGTCTCCTCCCGGTGGGACATGACCCGAACACCTCCCCAGGGAGGGATGTGTCCAGGAGGCATCCCATACAGATGCCACCTCAACTGGCTTCTCTCCATGTGGAGAAGCAGCAAAGAGATTATGGACTTTTAGTTTGTAAAGATGGCTGACGCTGAATGAAGCCGTATTTCTTAGACTACACATTAAGATATTCATGCCCATAAGTCACACTCATGGACTTGGACTGCTGGGCAACATTTTTTGACCCATCTGTCGGAAAAAGATGGCACCTGGTCCAATAAGATCACCTCCAAGTTGCTCTGGGGCACGATCCTCCACAACTGCTTTTCTCCACTAAAACTATGTGGCCCAAAATCAAGTGTGCCTCTCATACACGCTCATACCTCAATAGCAGTGAAATCTCCCCCTTTCTACCTCAAATTGTAGACTTGTCAGTCTTAAAAGCATGTGATATAGCTCCTTCATTGTTTCAGTCTGTAGAAAACCTTTAGTTGAAACTTCTCAATCCTAATTGCGTGTGTGTTTTTCCATTAACGTATGCTTTGCGCAGGTCTCCAGGTTGTTCTGAAGTCCATCATGAAGGCCATGGTCCCGCTGCTGCAGATTGGCCTGCTCCTCTTCTTCGCCATCCTCATGTTCGCCATAATTGGCTTGGACTTCTACATGGGGAAGTTTCACCGCACGTGCTTCAGGACAGATACAAGTGAGAATGCATGGACTTGAGTAATGTTCAAATTGTTTCCACAATGATGTATAGGAATGATGGGGAAGCACAGGACTGACTTTCTACATGTTATAAGACATAATAAAGATATCCTGACTGGCTCCTAATCTGAGCCGTGTTAGCCTGGCGCTCGTCTGCATACTGCTCTTGTGACTTCTTGATGAGTCATCTCTTTGTAAAAGTAAACTGATCACTATACTCTTGTTCTCGAAATAACATGATTCATAGAAGACTAGACAGCTTTGTCTTTTTGATTTGAGGCAAATTGATTTGTGATAAAAATAACAGCTTTAAAGTCACTTCCTGAGGCTACTCTATGTGTGCGATTATCCTCATCAAAACTATTTGATTCAAACTATGAAACATTTCATTCATGGGATAATAATGGAATATATAGTCATGATTGCATTTAAGAAAACTCATTAAATATTCACCAACTGTTTAACATCACAAGCTACACAGTGCTGAGCTTACACAGAGCTATATCATTGTACTTTAACTCATGTATTATGCATTAGACACATATATTTACATTATACATTCATAGCTGGGGCTAAAAATACCTCAGCATAACTGGTTTGATCCTGCTATAGGACGGTTTTATAGACCTGCTTCTCTACACCTGGTTTGGGACTCGTTTAGACCAGTTAGGGCAAGATCTCGCAAAATTCAGGCCATAAAACTATTGTTTGCCTGAAGTCATGACATCACAGTTCTGTTTTCTAATGAAGTCAACTGACTGAGGCAAACCATGGACCTGGATTTACATGTTTGGAGCTTACACATCTCCATAATAAAGCTTGGCAAAATCAAATTGTGACTGTATGGTTTTATGACATCACAGCCAAAGAAAGGAGAGCCAGAGTGAGACCAGAGAGAGACCAGAGAGAGACCAGGGAGAGACCAGAGAGAGACCAGAGAGAGACCGGGGAGAGACCAGAGAGAGACCAGAGACGGAGAACTTTAAATGATTTTGCTCTTCTACTGAAACTGTTTTAGTTGATCGATTTCACAGTGACAATTGTTTCCTGTTTTTTGTTTTTATTTTTTACTTGTTTTATTTATGTACTTGTCTTTTATATCAACTTATGTCTGCGTTTCAATGGCAAACTTTGCGCAGTTGAAAACTGACTTTGTATCTAAACCTGGCACTTTTACAGAAATGATTGTGCGTTGTCACTGTTCAAATAAGTACAAGAATAAAAGACAACTGTTTGTTTTTCTGTGCTTTAGATGAGCAGGCTGCAGACTTCCCATGTGGTCTCGAGCTCCCTGCGCGGACCTGCTCCAACGGGACGGTGTGCAGGGAGTACTGGATCGGACCTAACTTTGGCATCACCAACTTCGACAACATCCTGTTCGCCATCCTCACCGTGTTCCAGTGCATCACCATGGAGGGATGGGTGGATATCCTGTACAACGTAAGCCCCTTCACCCAGAACCACATGATTTAAGTGACTGAGCTTTACATGACCACTTACTTTTATCATTGCTCCCTCATTAAAAAAATACATGAAGTTGTAGTTCCATGATGTGACCCGTTTTAAGAGATGCTTTGTTCTTTTGGCTATAAAAATGATCTGATCTAACATTATACACTTTTAGAATTACATATTTATTAATATTTGTATGAGTGGATGTGTTTCTGCTGCTGGACAGCTGCATTTCTCCTATCCCTGGAAATATTTATATCACTTACATCATATAGGGCTGGACTTTGTTGATATTTGATTATTGTTGATATCAAGAAACCACAGAATTTGACAAAGAAAAAGAGAGGTTCTGGTTCCAGGGGATCAATAAAGTATCTATCTACTGTATCTGTCCAAATATGATTAGTGAAACTCATCTTTATAACTGCGTTCCTTCATTTAGACCATGCCATGTTAGATTCAGAGCTACGGCATGCAAACATGTAATTTTCCACTTCTACCGCATGATGTTTATTATTGTTTATGCTTATATCCGTTCCCCTCACTTGATGTGTTTTGAAACATTTCCTTTTGTGTTTTATGATTACTAGTACAGCACCCGTAGGATGTGTATTCCAGGCTTAAGTGGTATTTTTAAATTATTTCTAAGAGAGGATGTGTTTGAAGGTTGGACTTACAAAGAGATGTAGAAGCTCCTTGTGTAACGTTAACAATTGCATAAGATCACTCTAGCCAAAACAATATCAACAAATCTTTAGCATTCTCAGAAAACAGGAGGAGTGAGTGCTACTGCTACAGACGTAATTAAAATCAGGTGCTCTTCAGGATGAGAAATAACATTGCAAAACAAACATACCTTATTCTGTGGGAAAGTAAAGACAGGGTGAGATCTGAGGCACTCTGATAAAAAGTCCTTTAATGAGAGAGGGGACCAACGCGTTTCGGCCACGCAGGGCCTTCTTCAGGGCAGTGTTAAAAACATACTGATTTGACAGGTGTTAAAATAGACTCATGACGTCCACTGGACTCGATTTGTTGTACTTTTTTGTATGTGGTATCTGTCTTGTCAACATATACTGTGGTGTCTTTATATGTTTACATCATATCCTCCCTTCATTCAGCTATGTATTATCCAATAAATGTCGTTATTATATGTCATGTGACGAGTCCAGTGGACGTCATGAGTCTATTTTAACACCTGTCAAATCAGTATGTTTTTAACACTGCCCTGAAGAAGTCCCTGCGTGGCCGAAACGCGTTGGTCCCTTTGTTTTGAAATCTTTAGCATTATCCAATTTATTGAAGTATGCACCAATTTGATGCTGGTAGATATTGGATATTGGACCAGGACCTTATTTTTAGTATTTGGATCATTCTTGCATCATAAAAAATGCAAGAATCCCAGTTACCCAAAAGCAACTTACATTGAAATAAGCACAAAGCAGAATCCTCGCAGTAATACAGAGGAAGCAGCCTCCAGGACTCAGGAAAGTTGGAGAATAATATACCTTATTTTCTTGTCCATTCTCTGTAGTTGACTGAGCTGGAGTGACTATGCAACTTTTGCTATAAATTATACATTCATCTTCACTTCTTGGATACTGGACCACATTTTTAGCATTTGGGAGCTTATTTAGCATAGCTTCCAGCATATTCTCAACTTTTCCCCTGGCAGCTTCGCTTCCTCCCAGGTCTCCACCAATTTAAGATTAAAAACAGCATCAGAGTCAGCGAAGATGAATCATATACTGTAGGTTCAGATATGCCTAGTGCTTCTGTATGTGTTATAGACTTGGGTGTAATATCTATCTATGATTTCCTTATTATTTGATTTGTGATTTATTATTTCAAATATATAGATGTACAGGTATAATATAAGTAAGTAAAGTTTATTTGTATAGTGCCTTTCACAGACCAGGATCACAAAGCGTCACAATTCACAATTTAAAAGAAATACAGATAAGACTAATACACATACAAGTCAGATTTAAAAACGAAGATACAGAAGACGGTCCTCATCATGAACACAGATCACAGAGGCCTTTGTAGTGCCTCTTGAATGTACTAATATACCTTGAACTTTTGCACATTTTGTCACATTTACAACCACACACTGATACTGATTTTATTTGGAATTTTTTAAAACTGAAATAACACATGATTCTGTGATATCTCAAAACATAGGAAAATAGAGCATACAGCAGCTCCGGCAGCTCTTTGTCCAATAATGTCCTGTGTTTTGCTTCCTCCATCCATCCATCCAATCTGGCATTCTACACTATCCCTGCTGAAGAAAAGCAGCCCTTTTGATTTAATTTTTTTTTATTAAATAATTTATGATTTTATTTTTTTTATATATTTATTATATTTTTTCATATTAATATTTTTTGATATTTATATTTTATTTTTTTTTTTAATGTTTTTTTTTTAATTTTTATTTATTTTTTAATTTTTAAATTTTTTGAATTATTTATTTATTATTTATTTATTTTTTTTTTTATTTTGATATATATATTTATTAATTTTTTTAATTTATTTATTTTTTATTATTAATTTTTTCTCTTTATTTTATTTTATTATATTTTTTTTATTATTTTTATTTACTATTTTTAGATTTATTGTATTTTTATTAATGTTTTTTTAATTTTTTTTATATTATTTTTGCATATTTTTTTTTTGTATTTTTTTAAAGATTTTTTTTTTTTATTTTTTTTATTTTAATTATCTATATGTTTTTTTTATTATTTTGTTTTAATTTTTTTAAATTTTATGTTTATTTTAATATTATTTTTTTTTTGTTTTAATTTGTTTTTTTGAAAATTTATTTTTAAATTTTTATTATGTTTTTTTTTTTATATTTTTTATTTTTTTTATTTTTGTTTTGTTTTCTTATTAAATATTATTATAATATAATTTTATATAGTATTTAATTTTTGAAAATTGGTTTTTTTTTTTTTTTTTTTTTTTTTTTTTTTATTATATTAAATTTTGTATTTATATTTTTTTTTTAATTTTATTTTGTATTTTTTTTTATTATTAATTTTATTTATACGATTTTCTATTTTCTATTAATTTTTAAATTTTATTTTTTGGGATTTTTTTTTGGGGAATTTTTCTTTATCTTTATTTTTTTTTTTTTATCTTTTTTTTTTACTGAATTTATTTTGATTATTTTTAATATTTTTGAATTTTTATTGATATTATTTTTATATTTTTTTTTTTATTTTTTTTATTTTGTTATTTTAATTTTATTTTTTTTTTTATTATTTTTTTTTTATTTTTTGATTATATTTTTTATCTTTTTTTTTTTTATGGAATTATTAAATATTCTAATCTTATATTATTTTTATTTTTTATTATTTTTTTTTTTTTTATTTTTTTATTATTTTCCTTTTTTTTTTTTTTTATATTAGGAATATTATGTTTTTATATTTTTTAATATTTTCTTTGATTTTTTTTTATGTTTTTTTTTTTATTTGGATATTATTATTTTTGTTTTAATTTTTAATTTTTTTGCATTTTTTTTATTTTTTTATTATTTTTTATTTTTTTTTTTTATTTTTTTTTAGATTTTAAATTTATTTTTAGATTTTTTATTGATTTTTTTTATTATTTTTGTTATTTTTTTTTTTTATATTTATTATTTTTTTTATATTTTTTTTGTATATTTATTATTTTTTATTTTTTTTATTTTAATTTATTTTGTTTTTTAAATATTAATTTTTTATTTTTTATTTTTATTTTTTATTTTTCTTTTTTTTTATATTTATTTCTTCTGTTTAATTTTATATTTATCTATAATATTTTATTTATATTTTAATTTTTTTATTATTATCTTTATTTTATTTATTGTTTTATTTTTCATTTAATATCTTTTTATATATTTTTTTTATTTAATTATTTTTTTTTTATTATTTATTTTTATTTTTTTTATTTATTTATATTTTTATTTCTCCGTTATTCTTTTTTTTTTTTATATTTACTATTATATTTTAATTTTTTTATTAAATTTAATTTTTTTTATTTTATTTTTTTTTTTTTTTATTTTGATTTTTTATTTTTTTTTTATTTTTTTTGATTTATTTTTTTTCATTATATTTTTTTTTACTTGTTTACAATTTTTTTTTTTTCTTTTTTTTTTTATTTTTTTTTTTATTTTTTTTATTATTTAATTTATTTTTTTTGTCATTTTATGATTTTTTTTGATTTTTATATTAATTGATTTATATTTTTATAATATATTTTAATATTTTATTTATTCATTAATTTATATTTTTTTTTTTGTTTTTTTTTAAAATATTTTATTTTAATTTTTTTTTTTTTTTTTGTTTATTTTATTTTTTTAATTTTTTTTTTATTTTTTTTAAATATATCTTTTTTTTTTAATTCAATTTTATTTTATTTTTTATATTTATTATTTATTTTTTTATTTTTTTTTATATTATTAAATTTATTTCTTTTTTTTTTATTTTTTTTATTATTTTTTATTAATTTTAATTATTTATTTAGAATTTTAATTTTTTTTTTTTTTTATATTTTTTTTTTTTTATTTTTTAATCTATATTTTTTTATATATTTCTATTATATTATAATTTTTTTTTTATTTATTTCTTTTAAATTTTTTTTTTATTTTATTTTATTTTATTTTTTTTGAAATTTTATTTTTTAAACAATTTATTTTATTATATTATCATATTTTTTTTAATTTTAATATTATATTTTTTTTTTACTTAATTTTTTTGATTTTTTTTTTTTAATTTTTTAAATTATTTTTTTCTTTTTATTCTATTTATTCTATTTATTATTTATTTTTTTTTTAAATCTATTATAATTTTTTAATTTATTTTATAATTTTATATATTTTCTTTTTTTTTTATTTTTTTTTTAATTTTTTATTTTATTCTTTTTTTTAAATTATATTTTTTTTTTTGTTTTATTTTTTTATTTTTTTTGTAATTCATTATTTAATTTTATTTTGTTGATATTTTTTTTTATTTGAATTTTTATTTTTTTTTATTTTC